AAACATTTGCAGAATATGTACTTGAACAAAATCTTAGGAGAGATTTATATATATGTGCTACACAGGTAATTTCACTATTTGGATGGATTTAACGTGGCTATGAATACTTTCAGAAGTCTTAAGTCCAGAAGAATGTTTTTTCAAATTTTCTGGACTAATCACATTGTTTGGTGTCATTATGATCCTGACCTTGGAATTGGGCTTTAGGTATGCTTACCATGCTGTTAAATCACGGCTTAGAACATTTACAGAGTCGTAAGAGAGCACTGACAGTGAGAAGTTTTGTGAAATCTGTAATCAGGCTCAATTTTGAAGTTCTTGCACTTGTATGACTTCCATGTAAGGCTTTTCCAGGAAGTTCCTTTGTGTTGGGTTAAAATACTGAAAGTTTGACTTGCTCACCAACTTAAACTGTGGTCTGTTATTCTTTGTGTTGAGTGGATCAGAGCTAAATTACTGGCTTTTTTTCCATCATGTAAAATTGTGTCAATGCTTCAAATGAGAATATTTTTACTCTTATAATAATATTCTGCTGTCTCAAACACAGCCATTGTACTCATTTTGTTTCCTTTACTACCTGAAGAACAAACTTCATACAAACTAATTCTACCTTGGTTCTGTGCATGTAAATTAACACGGTTCTTGAGCAATCTCTGCTAAAATTACTGAGTGAAAATTTAGTGCAAATCTTTCACAAGTTATTGGATCAATAACTTTACTGTTTTTATAAATTCTCACTTTAAAATACATAATGGCATATTTTAGATGTCTTTTAGAGATATAATTTTAGAGGCTCTTCTAACAATGAAACTTGTAATAAATCAACTTAATCCAACTTCCAGCTGTACAATTTTTCAACAAGCTAAATAACATAATTCTTATGTTTTCATTTAACTTGCCCATGAATTACCTTCTCTTAAATTCATCTTATACCTTTTCCAGACCATGGTCTGTTCTTGTTTGGGATGCTGAAAAAGCTGGAGAGCTAAACACTCACTCTCTCTCTCTCTCTCTCTCTCTCTATATATATATGTAAATACACACACACACAACTTATCCTCAGCCTGCACACCTAGCATTTATTATGCACTTCCTATGTCTCTAACATTAACACCCCTTTCAATCCTTGCAATATCTCAGTAGTTTCTTTTAATAGTGGAGTAAGTTAAGGCACATTTATTTACCTAAAGTCCCAACACTTGCCATTCATGCCAGGCAAGTGACTCCAAACCTATGCATTATGCTACCTCCACCTACTGATAAGAACTTGGGTATAAAAGCAGTTTAGTACTTTTTCACTTAGTACTATGATTTCTGGCACAGCTGTAGTTTGCTAATATTCCATTTCTGCCTTCTAGATTGAATTGAAAATCCTGGTCCCTGTTCATATGAGCTGCTGTTCATATGGAGCACTCTGGCTTACTTTCATAGTGTAAAAGAATAGGAGATTTAGATCTTTTATCATCACTGCAAATGGACTTGGAGATCAGGATTTAGAACCCTGAAATGTAGCACATTCTTAAAGGAGTCTACTGCTGGCAAACTGGGTAATGGCATGGGCTTGAAGCACAGTCCTACAGATTAACAAGATAACTAAATAACTGATGGAACACAAACTTCCAACAACACAAATCTTGACATTTCCAGGAGTTTTAAGTTCCCCAGGAAGTCAAAACTTACCAAATTGTAAATGAACATGTTTTCTGATTCATATGCAAACATAAAATCCCATTTTGAAAACTTTCAATACCATTAGAAAGACTAGACACTGTATTCTCTAAAATTTATTTACAGTTAATAAGTTAAAAAAGCAAAGTACAACCAAATTGTAAATCTTAATCAATGCACATTAAACTATTCAGAGAAACACTTCAGTTCCATTACAAACAACTGTTTTCTAATGCACTTAAGACATAACAGTTTATCAAAAAATATTTTAAACACACTGATAAAATAAATGTTAGGCATGTGTCCATTAGCAATCACCTATTTTAAAAAATGCTGTGGCAACCCTTAAATCACCAACACTATTGAGTTCAAAATTATTCAGATCTTTCTGAATTCAAGTATCTTTACAGTTTTTTATTGAAGTTTTCTGAAAAATAGTTTTATCATTTGCACATAGCGAATCAATAGGTATTAGCCATCAGCTTAAGTTACACTTGTATCTAAAAGAGTACTCAAACTTAGACAAAATAAATACACACCACAACAGCAACACTTTGCACTATCAACAATGAAGCTTGCCTCCAACTATCATGTTATTAGCTTAGGAAAGTAAAAACAAGTTGCTGGCTGACATTGAGGAGGAAAAAATGACATCAGAAATCTCAAAAGGTTGAGGTGCCGGTCACATTTACGCACTCAAAAATCAAAAATTAAATAAAAGCATAGCAAGGTGATAAATTTCCTCCTCGCTACCTCCTCTACTTGTGCCATTTGAGACGTAAGAGAAGGCAAGGAAACAAATTATGGAATTTCTTTTAAACTACACACAAACTAAGCTACAGACCCACTTCAGAAGACAGTAGATGGATGCCTCACAGTAAGGCCACTATGCCAAGTCTCTTTTCACATTCTGTCCAAAGGTACTCAAAATACTTTCACATCCCTAATCAACTACATTAGGTGTTTTTTCACATTGTAGAAATTTAACATAGGTTTTACTAAAGAAAACTTGGCAAAAATAAAGGTTTGGTGGGGTTTTTTTTTCCATCTTACATTACAAACTAGAAATGGCATTTTTTAATAACCCAGATGAACCATATTGAATTCAGGATGAGCAATCAGATCCAAACTGAACTCAGTCAGCCCAAATAAGCCAAAAAAAAAGCACTTATGCAAGTTCAAGTGCACTAAAGCAACAAGGCATAATAGAAAAAAAACTGTCAAGAATCTAATAAACACATGGTGTCACTGGTTGTGTTTCAGTTGTGTGCTGAGAAAAGTTATTCTCTCAGCTAAGTCTAATTTAAAAGCCTCTGGAAATCTACCTATACTACATGTTGAAATTACATTCTAATATGGCCACTGGATTTTTTAATTATTATAAAACTATATACAATAGTGAAGTGGTACAAATACATTTTCTTCAGGTGCTAGTTAGCTGTAAAAGTTAACAATATATTTTGGGGGAAGAAAATCCTATGTATCTGAAATACATTTGGCAATGGAAGCTAAAAAACAAAACAGTTATGTCTCAGCTTCCCATAATGCAAATGTAATTTAGCACTCTCCATTTTCTAAGTAATTATTCACTTTTTATTTACTGATGTGACAGGTTTGTAACAATATATTATTGTTGAGTAGTGAATAAGACTAGGCTTATTGGGAAACTGGCATAAAGTCATATATGTATGTATATTTATATATATAATTTTTTTTACAAAACACTGAAATTAAAGTCACGACACTCCTTCTATGGGCTATTAAACTTAAAATAATTTCAGAAAACTATGCCATTTGAATTCTAGGAACACAAGAGTCAAAACTGGAACTCTCATTATTCTCCTAAAAAGCTGCCAAGCAGAAAGAACTCGGCACAGAATAACTTAATGTGTCCAGTTCCAGCCCAGTGCTGGGTCGTTCCATGGCAGAATCCTTAAATTTGAACTACTAGTGGCACAAGAACGCTACTTGGTCTTTTAGGTATTGCAGTAAAAGCTGGCTGTGGCACCACTGGCTAAAAACCATTAAGTCTTGCTGCCACCAACGACCAAAGGCACTTGGGTAATCAAGAATTCCACACTGGGCCATATGGTATACACACTGTTATGATAAAAGTGTAGAAGAGGGTCGGTACTCTGTGTAGCTCGCCTATTTGATTCCTGTGGCTTTCAGATGTCACAGACTGCATACATAAACGGGAAGATGACAAAAGAAAATTCACAGGGCAAAAAAAAGTCAACTGTTATGACGTTCATAAAGGCAATGGATAGTAGTCTGGGCATTTCTTGTTACCCAACAACAAAGAACAGAAGATCTGTTTTGCTCAGTCACTTCAACCATTATTTGATACCAAGAAATGCCCCACCCTTCCCTGTAGATCATTAATAGTTCTGCGAATTCTAATGGGTATTCTGTTTATTACTTTATTCAATGTTTACACACATTGATCTCGCCTATGTAACTTTCATCTTAAATGATCTTCTCATTAACATTCCTGGATGATAGACAGGAAATGAGGCCAAATCAACTCCAACTGGATTCCAGTCATTCCGGCAACCAACACCAGTTCTTTACAATTTATTCACTTTTTTATCACAAGCCAGGTGGTTCCAACGGAGTTCAATTTTTATTCAATTATAATGAATTTAACAAGTCAATTTTTTCCCTAAAAACAAAACTTTGCAAGAGTCTTCTACCACTTTCTTTAGGAGCTCAGTATATATAAACATGAAACTTCCCTAGGAAACCTTTATAAAAAAGCCTTTAAATGTTCAATCTGTTGTACTTTGTAATCAATCGGTTGTCTCTTTGTAATCACTGAGCCCATGAAATCCAAAGCCATACAAATCCTTGCACTAACAACAGTCATAAACTTGAACCTCTTTTAAAGGTATCGTCGGTCAAAGCTTTGGAACCCAGAATAAATTAGCAAATGAGTGGGATTCAGAATACCCTGAGCACAAACTAGTGCAACACCACAAAACGCCCTCGATCTTCCGTCCAAAAAGAAGGTGAAGGGTGGCAGTCAGAAAGAGAGGGGGTGGGGGAAGAAACACTCTGGCTTATGACACAAGCACGAAAACACACTGCTTTGGAAAAGAACGACTTCGGAGGACTTCCAGACCAGTGAGGTAGAGTCCGCGAGGGGGACGGATGAGCCCCGCAGGTCCTGGAGACGCGGCGTGGGTGGCGGAGGAGGACGCAGGTCCGCGCTCTGCTCCGCCCGCAGCCGCAGGGTCCCAGTCCTGGAGTCTCAGGCCGCGGTGCCGCGTCCCGGGCGCGGGGCAGAGGGGACAACCATCGGGGACTTCGTAGCGTAAAGTGCACTAGAGGACCGGGTGGCCGGTTCTGTAAACACTCGACTGACACTAGTTCATTCCTCCAGGCGGAAGAGCCCCTGCAGGGCGGCGGCCGGCCGGCAGGAGGCGCCCTGGGGCGGCGCCTCACGCCCGAGGCACGGGGAAGCGGCGAAGCCTCACCACCGGCTCCAGGTCCACTCGCAGGACTTGGCGCGCTTTGCGCCGCGCCGCCGCCAGGCTGCGCTCGCCCCACACGTCGTCGCCGACGCGGATAGTGGGGAAGGTGGTCAGCGTCGGGGTGGCGGCCCTCCAGATCTCCTCCAGCGTGCGGCCCCCGAAGCAGAGTCCGGGTGTCCCGGGCTTGGTGGCGCACGGCTCCCCGGGGGCCGGCGGTGGTCGGGGCCTCCTCCTGCCCGCAGCGGCCGCCCGGGCTCCGCGGCGCCTCCTCCTGGCCGCTGCGCGCGGGGCTGGCCGGCGCGTCGGGCCGCGGGCGGCGACGGGGGGCGGCGGGAGGTCGGGCACCAGGGCCCGGCAGGAAGAGTAGCCGTAGACGTCCTTGCTGCGCAGGATGTGCGGGGAGAACTGGTGCTTGAGGCTGCAGAGGAAGCTCCAGAGCTCCGCCTCGGAGCTCATGAACTCCGTGCTGCTAGGCATGAACAGCTTGAAGGCGTCGCCCAGCGCCTTGGTGCTGTCGGCCAGCGACAGTTGCGACCGCGAGTACACCACCTTCTCCTCCCGCGCCTCCAGCCCGGCCCCTCCTCCCGCCCTGAAGCCGCCGCCCCAGCCGGCCCGGGGCCGGCGCCGCCGCCTCTTCACGCTGCGCCGCATCGGAGGAGCCGCTCGAAGCCGCCCCGCGCGTCCGTGAGCTCCGCTGCCGCCGCTGTCCCCCGCCCCGCGATCTGGCTCCGCGGCGACGGCCGCTGCTGGCGCCTCCCGCCCGGCGCGGCTCTCGCTACTTTTCTCGCCTCCGCCGCCGCCCCTCCCCCTCCGAGGGCGGAGGACGCGGTGATATCCTGCCGCCTGGCTCAAAATGGCGGCCGGCGCCCACCCCTGGGCTTTGTCATTGGACGGGCCTCGCCCCCCCACCCCACCCCACCCCCAGTTTCTCTTTCTTCTCCTCTCTCCTGCCTCCTTTCGCCCTCTGCCTTTCTGTAAATGCGCCCGCCTCAGTCCCCGCCCACCGCCGCCCCGGCTCCACCCATTGGGTGCTCTGAGAGAGGGGCGGGGCCTGCTGGGGGAGAGGCCAGTTCCTGGAAGATGGTGCTGGGGTGGGTGGTGGTTGTGGCCCTTGGACGCGAGTCAACAGTTGGGTGGGTATCTGAGGGTTTGCCATGTCTAGAGGAAGAGGTGGATGTCGGCTCCGTCTTGGGGAGCGACTGGGTGTGCAGAAGTGGCTTGAGCTGGGCTGTGCTGGGAGATCTACCAGTCTAAGTAACAAAGAGATAACCCAAAGACTGGCCATGTCACAGCCGAGGGGTTTGGGTGTACCTCTGGGGGGGTGAGCCTTACACCATTCCTTGCTGAATGCTCAATGGACTGTTCTGGCATCCTCATAACTCTTGCCTGTCTTGACCCCAATTCGTCTCTAGAAAACAGTAAATGATCAGGTAATTTGATAGTCTTCCTCTAGGCAATGGAACCATCTTGGCTTATTGAAGAAGATCCTATGGTAGTCAGGAAAACAAAGCTTTTCATATTGTATGAAACTACATACTCCACTCAAGCTAATAAAAAATCAGTTGCAGCAAAGTCATCTTGCTAAAAGAAAAGGTCCTAATGCTAAATGTATACTGCTATAGTACCACTTCATATTTCGTCTGGGTTTTTAATGTCCCTTCGCAGCACTATCCGTATGATTTAGAAAGAGCGCAGTATCACATGTAACAAGGTTCTGTCGAACAGAACACATTGTTAAGAACTCAATAACTTTTGTGTTTGAGGGGGAGTGGTGGTCAGTGTTATCTTTTTATCATTTTATCTTCTCTGTCCTCCATACCTGCTGGGTCTTGGGCACTCAGTATGTTTGCTGAGTGAATCAATGAAATCCCACTGACTATTTGAAATGGAGTGAGAAGGAAATACTGAAATTGCTTAGAACAGAATAATTTTATATTTTACATTTATCTTGCCATTTTCTTTAAACTTTTTTTTTTCTGTTGCTGAGGATCAAATGCAGGGCCTTATATGTACTACATAAGCACTGTACTGCTGAGCCATACCCAAGCCCACAAAATGTCTTTAAAATTTTTAAGGTTTAGAAGCTATCTGATTCTTTAAGGTAGACATGAAAATTTTACCCTGCAGTAAGCATCTTATTTTTTGCTGAGTATAGTACAGAATTTTTGTGATTTACATATAGTCACTGGTGGTTCCCTTGAATATTTGAGCTGAAAGAGACGCAGTTCGATCTCATTTCACAAGTGAGGAAAGTTAGACCCACACAGGATCACTGATGGCAGCCCTGGGATGCTAGGGCTTTGGACTGCTAATTTAGTGATCTTTACATTTCACTGGTGGTGTTTCAAATCATGCCGCCCTGACTTTGAGCTCATTAGAAAATGCTTTATGCATCAGTGAGGTGACCAAGGGACAAAGGTGCACCCCATTCTTACTTCCATTCCACCCAGGATGGAGCAATTTTTATCTGTCCTATAATGAACAAGGGTGATATTTTGTTTGAACCAGATAACATTGTGTAAATCAAAAATAATGTGAAAGTTGCTTCTACATACCACATCACCCTATCCACACAATGGGTTGAGAGAAAAAATAAAGGTCAGAAATAAAACTGCTGACCACAAACCAGTTCTCTGTCTACCAAAATCATAGTAACTTTCTGGAGAGAAAATAACTTCCTAGAAAAGCACACTGATCTCAGAACAAGATTATAGAGCCAATTTCCAGTTGTCTAACTTCTTGAAAGAAATTATACTGCAACAACTCTACAACATAATCAGTTCTCTTGGTAATTCTTAGAACACATAGTAATATGAACTCTGAATAACTTCTATTGGAATTCCCCTGCAGATTGACATAGAAAATCTCACAGAATAAGTCAGTGGAAAACAAGCAGGACTTCATAATGAAAGAAAAAGATCAAAGTAGGATAAAATGTAGTCCTAACATGTTGCTATTCTCATGCTTCTATATTATCATTTGTCATTACTTATATGGTCTTTTGCCACGTAAATATGTGCCAGGCAGCTACACAAACTTCTATAATTGCTTTCAACTAAAAAATCTTTTTAACACAATTTTGAGTCTAAAGAAATATCAGATCTCAACAAATTGTTGAATATTCAAGAGTTTATTTTATAAAGCATGTCTGTTGAACTTAGTTTAAACTACTTTTTAGAAATAGTTTTAGGAACCAGCATCTTGTTAAACTACTTAAATTGTTTTATACTTTTTAATTTGTGTTCTCTATTCTTTTGATTAGCTCAAATAGTCTTACAAATGGTTCTTTACTCACTCTCCATGAGTAAAACTTACTCATAAAGATATATGATTACACATAAAATATATTAATATTTCTTCTAGTTCCCGAGACACTGTAAGATTTATAGAAAGTTGGCAATTAAATTTTTGTTTCTGAGGATTGATAGCTATAATCCTCAGTTTATTCCTTCACCTCTTGAGGATAATGGTTCCTATATCTGATAAATAAATGACAGATAATGAGAATAAACAGAAAACTAGTATGCATCTATATTCTACTTCTAATTTATGTTGCTTTAAAAAAAAAGAAGTAAGTAAAGTAAACTGATTGGAGAAGTTAAAATGTATCTCTAAGCTACCCAGAACTTTTGCTTTAATATCTCATTTCTATAAAGTAATTTGTCTCTTAAATAGTGGCCAAGAATAATAAAAAGTACCTGTAAGTGGTTGCAGGTGTCAGCTCTGAAATCAAGTAGGCTTGGAATCGAATACATCTTTACAACAAGGTATTCTTGGACACTGTTTTTTACCTTTCTGAGTCTCAGTTTGCTTATCTACAAAATGGATGTAACTTCTACTTCATGGAGGTTAGATGAAATCATAAGATACCCGTTGTAATACCTGCCACATAGTAGGCACTCAATGCATTTCAGCTATCGTTTGTCTTATCTAATTTTGAGCATTTTACTTGGGTTAACCAACATATTTTAAATGCTTTATTATTGAAATTCTAGATTTTTTAAGTAGTAGAATTGATCAGGAGAAAATTAAAATGTTAGCAAACTTTATAGAGATTATCTAATAAGTCAAACATTCTTAATTCAGATGGGACTTCTGAGACAAGAACTGGTCTGCAGGGTCACAGTGCTGGATAGTGCTAAAGTCTATGTCTCTAACTGCTAGCCTAGAGTTGTTTCTAACATTCTAGATTTTGCATTTAATCCAATGAAAAATTTAATGCTAACATTAATTTTTAGTTTACAGCATGACACATCTAAAGTGATTTAGATTTTTCTATAAAAGTTATCTCAAAGCTCTGGTATGCTCTAAAACTCATTAATGTACATATATAAATTTACATAAAGACCAGATAACTAAGAGGATAGGACTTCTGTTTCTAGGAAGGTGGAATATTTGGTTTTTTCCCTATTCTTCCTGAAAATTACAGCAAAACATCACAGATAAAAAGCTATGACTTCTACACTTGCCAGACACCCCACCTGGTGTGGCAATGCATATCTGTAATCCCAGCACTCCACTTGACTGAGGCAGAAGGATTAAAAAGTTCAAGTCCAGCCTGGGATACATAGCAAGATCTTGTCTCAAAAAAAAAAAAAAAAAAACAGACATCCCAGCACTTTTGCTGCGGTAGTATCAGAAAAGGCTAAATAAAGAATCAGTACTTCCTTTCCTGCTTGGCAGTAAAGAGGCAGAAATAAGATACTCCTATCTGCCCTACTGGGAAGCCAGAATTTCCATCCCCATCCAATAGTAGTGAGGCGCCCCTCTCCCTGACATGGGTGCTGTTGGAAGCAGAGTGAGAAATCTAGACTTCTTCCTGCTAATACTGAGGATGCACTCCTTCCCCTGTTGGAATGGTGTCAGAGAAAAACAGCTGAAAGAGATATAAATAAGACCTGAGTCTTGTAATAATATTCAAAACATCCAGATTTCAATTGAAAATCATTTACTAGGAAGGTCTCAAACTGAATGAAAAAAAGACAATGCATAGCTAACACCAGGATGAGAAAGATGTTAGGATTATGCCATAAAGATTTTAAGGTAGCCATCACGAAAATACCTCAACAAACAATTAAGAACATCTTAAAGCAAGTGAAAACTTAGAAAGTTACAGCAAAGAAACAGAAAATCTCACTAAGTAAACAGAGATAAAAAGAAGAACCAAGTGGAAATTTTAGAACTGAAATCAGAAGTTCAGTGAATGGGCTCAGCACTAGAATGGAGAGGACAGAGGAAAAAACTGAAGATGTAACAATATCCAATTTAAGCAACAAAGAAAAATAGTCCAAAAATATAGTAAACAAAGCCCCAGGGATCTGTGGGAGTATAAGATCTAATATTTCATCATTAGAAATCTAGAAGAAGAAAAAGAAGATTGAAGTGAAAAAAGTACTTACAGAAATAATAGCCAAAAATCTCTCAGATTTTCAAAAGACATAAATCCACAGATTCAAGAATAAATTCAAACAAAATAAGCCCAAAAATGTCTACCTCAAGACACATCACAGTTAAACTTGGGAAATCAAAAACACACACACACACACACCCTTATTTATAAAGGAAAAGCAATTCAAAAGACAGCAAATTTCTCACCAGAAATCATGGAGGCCACAAGGGCTCAACCTTTTTCACGTGCTAAAGGAAAACTGTCAACCCAAATTCCTGCATGAAGGAAAAGAGAGAATATGTTGCCAGCAAACATACTCTAAAGAATAACTAAAGGAAGTTCTCTAAATAGAAGGAAACCATAAATGGTGTTTTA